TTGACTTAATTCATCTAAATATATAAAGATATTTGACTTTATTCATTCAAATTTATTTTAAAATTAATCCATGAATCCAGATATACTTAAAAAAATCATTCTAACAAGTTCAGATTCATTTGAAAATTGACTTAACTGTTCAGATGTATGAACACAAATGCCTTACACCCTAGTGCAGTGTTTTTGCTGGTAATCCCCACAAGAGAACACAGAATAATAACACTAACAGCAACCGACACAGACACTTGAGCCTTCCCGACACGGACACTTGAGCCTTCCCAAAACAGACACTTGAGCCTTCCCGACACAGACACTTGAGCCTTCCCGACACGGACACTTGAGCCTTCCCGACACAGACACTTGAGCCTTCCCGACACGGACACTTGAGCCTTCCCGACACGGACACTTGAGCCTTCCCGACACGGACACTTGAGCCTTCCCGACACGGACACTTGAGCCTTCCCGACACGGACACTTGAGCCTTCCCGAAACAGACACTTGAGCCTTCCCGACACGGACACTTTAGCCATCCTGACACGGACACTTGAGCCTTCCTGAAACAGACACTTGAGCCTTCCCGACACGGACACTTTAGCCATCCTGACACGGACACTTTAGACTTCCCGACACGGACACTTTAGCCATCCTGACACGGACACTTGAGCCTTCCCGACACGGACACTTGAGCCTTCCTGAAACAGACACTTGAGCCTTCCCGACACGGACACTTGAGCCATCCTGACACGGACACTTTAGACTTCCCGACACGGACACTTTAGCCATCCTGACACGGACACTTGAGACTTCCCGACACAGACACTTTAGCCATCCTGACACGGACACTTGAGACTTCCCGACACGGACACTTTAGCCATCCTGACACGGACACTTGAGCCTTCCCGACACGGACACTTGAGCCTTCCTGAAACAGACACTTGAGCCTTCCCGACACGGACACTTTAGCCATCCTGACACGGACACTTTAGACTTCCCGACACGGACACTTTAGCCATCCTGACACGGACACTTGAGACTTCCCGACACGGACACTTTAGCCATCCTGACACGGACACTTGAGACTTCCCGACACGGACACTTTAGCCATCCTGACACGGACACTTGAGACTTCCCGACACGGACACTTTAGCCATCCTGACACGGACACTTGAGCCTTCCCGACACGGACACTTTAGCCATCCTGACACGGACACTTGAGACTTCCCGACATGACAATAGCCTGTGCTTGCCTGTGTGTACTGGATCCCAAATTATTCCTTCACATGGCATTTAATGGCAGAAGTGGTTTTTGTCGAGATGATGATGACAGATTCCATGTGTGTCATCAGAGGCAGCTATGGAGGGTTGTTGTCAGCTTGGTTAGCTCACGCAATGCACAGCTGGCTGCAGGCACCAACAGTCATGACAGTCAACCAGGAGCTTTGGCTTAGTGGAGGGCCCATAATTGATAAAGAGATGACAAGTGGAAGGCGTGGACCCCTGCCAGTGACATGTCTGTTGATATGTGGGGCAGAAGTTCTCTTGTGAACTGATCTGCAGCTATCATATTGTTATGTTAAACATAGAAAAGCATAGAAAACAGACTCCAGAATATATTTATTGATGGAGCATTGTTTCAGTCGGCGGTAGTGTTCCTGAGACATCATCTTGTTTTTTCTTGCATTCACCTGCTATAAACTCCGGCAGAAAGTTCTGGCTGTCATCCACTTCTGGAGTCTTGTTTGAAAACTTGAGTTTTGCATACACATCTATTTTACAGATCTGGTTTATTTGTATGCAGACTGTTGGTTCCTCACCTATTAGGCAAATTACAAGACTTATAAGTTAGGATTGTGGGGTATTCTTTCTTCCCTCACAGTGAGGCTGCAGAATCCATACAGGATAGACATAATGTGAAAAAGCACAGACGTACGCTGTAGTCTGATGAAACAATTTTAGACCAGCTACAAAACACCCAGAAATTATCTGGCACTTAGTGAATTCACTTGAAGCCATCTTTTTCTTCTTCTTTTGTCTCACTGTTTATGCTATGAAGGATCACAGAGAGGAGTTAGATGTTTTTGTCTGTCTTTTGCTAGTTGCATAGCTTGTGTTCATTTCATATTGCAATTGTATAAATCCTTGTTTATTCTCTCCACCCATGTCTTTCTTGGTCAGCCTCTTGCCTTGTAGCCTGCTGTTCACTTGAAGCTGAGCAGTATGGAAAATAAAGACAAGAATGAATCCCAGGAAGAAACACATCATTGTTCAGTCCATAGTTAATATTCTCTTCTGTAGAACACAGATGAATGTGATACTAGGGGATTCACATCCTCTTTAGGTGACAGAAACTGTTCACATTTCAACCTATTATGTTCACAATTCTCTCATGTTGATATCAATGACTTATTAGGAATCGTGTTGCATGTTTTTGTTTTTTCCTGGCTGCCTGCCTTTTTTAATTGTTGTAGAGTTTTGCCTGCTTGCATTGTGGGATTGAAACGTGAACCATGTTTGATGTTCATTTACTCATCTTCCCCCCCTCCCCTTACACCTCCCCCTCCCCTTACACCTCCCCCCTCCCCTTACACCTCCCCCCTCCCCTTACACCTCCCCCCTTTTCCATCCCAACAATAACCATGCTTGTTGTCTGTTATCCTAACTCAATTAGCATGTGTGCTGGTGTGCATGTGTGCTGGTGTGCATGTGTGCTGGTGTGCTGGTGTGCATGTGTGCTGGTGTGCATGTGTGCTGGTGTGCATGTGTGCATGTGTGCTGGTGTGCATGTGTGCTGGTGTGCATGTGTGCTGGTGTGCATGTGTGCTGGTGTGCTGGTGTGCATGTGTGCTGGTGTGCATGCTTCATTCTATCACTGAGTTAATGTTGATGACTTCCTGCATTTTGCAATGAGACAAAACAAAAGCCACCTTGTGCCAGCTAGACTAGACACCTTGTGAGAAGACTAGTTATGGCAGTCGACAGTGTCAGAAACAGCACACTTGGGGAGACACACATATGGGAGTCAGCAGAGAAATAAATATTAATATATAACAAATATAACTGGTGACATGAAAAAGAAAGTTGTATATTAACATATGTCACTGCTATGTGTGTGTTCATCAGTTCTAGCAGAAGGGTTTATGGGTCATTGATTGTAGCTCTCTAGAGATTGATGTTGATAAAGTTTAGATCTGCAACCCTTAGATTTATTCAAACATTTTCCTAGACTCCCATCTCAACACTATCCCTGCCTCTTCCTCCCCACACACATTCTCACGCACACATTTACACAGAAACACTCATACACAAACACATACATACAGTTACATAAGGAGCTGTGATAGATCTAATGGTTAAACTCTGATGTAAAGGAGCTGTTATAGATCTAATAGAAAAACTATGATGTGAAGGAGCTGTGATAGATCTAATGGTTAAACTCTGATGTGAAGGAACCGTGATAGATCTAATGGTTAAACTCTGATGTAAGGGAGCTGTTATAGATCTAATAGAAAAACTGTGATATGAAGGAGCTGTGATAGATCTAATGGTTAAACTCTGATGTGAAGGAACGGTGATAGATCTAATGGTTAAACTCTGATGTAAAGGAGCTGTTATAGATCTAATAGAAAAACTATGATGTGAAGGAGCTTTGATAGATCTAATGGTTAAACTCTGATGTGAAGGAATTATGATAGATCCAATGGTTAAACTCTGATGTGAAGGAATTATGATAGATCTAAAGATTAAACTGATGTTTAGATGTGAGAAGTTGTTATTAAAGGTTAAACTCTCATCTGAAGGTCATGTCCTCAATCTACTTACAGTTCTGTAAGAAAAGAATTCTCAGTTCTGTAGGTAAATATTCAGTGCTGTCATGCCCACTTTGGTTTCCAGGGTCCTGTTGTGGGGGAAACAAGAATAGACTTACAGCCTCCCCAACAAGTATGTCCTAGGAGTCGATTCATTGGGAGCTTCCTTCAAAAGTGGAGTATATCTGCCTCAGAGGCAAGGAACCAGCAGTCTGCAAACAGATATGTCAGATCTGTAAAATGGCTATGTATGCAACACTCAGGTTCTGGAACAAGACTTAAGTACAGAGATGGATGAACAACCAGAAATTTCCACTGGAGTTTAGGCTGGTGAATATGAAGAAAAGGGAGAAGATGAAGAACTGTGGAACCATTACCCTGACAATTACTGGTGTAACAGTAATCTACTCCATTCCCTCTTTGATAATATTTCCTTGTTGCTTATTTGGTAACTACATTAGATCGTATAGATCACAGGTAATTGATACATAACCTGAGGGCAGTGCCTAGGCACAATTTGGAGTTAAAAATCTACTCAAAGTATTTCAGGATCCTCACCGGTGCTACAGAGTTTTTGCACTGTACTGACATTCTTTGGACTCAGGTGTGAGTCAGAAGTAGAACTTAGCACTTATGGGTTACTCCCCTCAGGACTAGAGACGACTGGGTAAAGCTACCTCAGGGCTAGAGACATGGACTGGGTAAAGCTATCTCAGGGTTAGAGACATAGACTGGTTAAATCTACCTCAGGGTTAGAGACATGGACTGGGTAAAGCTACCCCAGGGTTAGAGACATGGACTAGGTAAAGCTACCTCAGGGTTAGAGACATGGACTGGGTAAAGCTACCTGAGGGTTAGAGACATGGACTGGGTAAAGCTACCTCAGGGCTAGAGACATGGACTGGGTAAAGCTACCTGTGGGTTAGAGACATGGACTGGGTAAAGCTACCTGAGGGTTAGAGACATGGACTGGGTAAAGCTACCCCAGGGTTAGAGACATGGACTGGGTAAAGCTACCTCAGGGTTAGAGACATGGACTGGGTAAAGCTACCTGAGGGTTAGAGACATGGACTGGGTAAAGCTACTTCATACAGCAGCATCCCAGGATAGAGGACAGTCAACCTTTGACAAAAAATGTCTCAATGAATCGTACATGTGATATTGTATGTGTTCTACTTGTATTTGTCCACACAGAAAACAGAAGAAGCATAGCTCCAAGAGGAATGGGGGTAGACCTCAACTGGGCGGTGTGGAGGAGGAGGCAGACGATGTACACGGCACCATGAACTCAACGTCTGTAAACAAGAACAAGGCTCCGGTGAAGTTCTACATCGACGATCATGATGACCATGAGGAGAAAGAGAATTTGATCAAGACCCCGGAGATTGTCGTCGACCCACCCAGTGATGTTCATTCTAGGACCCCCGATAGGGAAACAGAAGGCAATAACTCTCGGTGTTGAGTTGTGTGGGCATTTGACAGCAGAAATTGCTTCTCATGGAAGCAAATATTCTATTTTATTTACTTGTTTCTTAACAGTTTATTTATTTGTTGCTTAATAAACAGTTCATTTGTTTGAGATTTTAACAAATTCATTTAGTACTGACTAGTGGGTAGAGTGGTCATTGACAACACTGAAGTCCTTGTTTATTCCCCTCAGATTTGTTCTCTTTAATGTTTGTCCCTTACTTGCTACTTTATTAACAAGTGTGGGGTGCCAGGAGACATCAACAAACGTGGGGTGCCAGGAGACATCAACAAAAATGTATAGGGGCTATAAAATTGGATAAATATTGTGTTTTCTCAGATACTGTTTTCCTGTGCGTATGTTTGATACTGTTTACCTGTGTGTATGTTTGATACTGTTTTCCTGTGCGTATGTTTGATACTGTTTACCTGTGTGTATGTTTGATACTGTTTACCTGTGTGTATGTTTGATACTGTTTACCTGTGTGTATGTTTGATACTGTTTACCTGTGTGTATGTTTGATACTTACCTGTGTGTATGTAAACATTTGGTCATTTAGTAGTGTGATCTGCCTGCTGATTTATTTCCCTTGGGATAGCAAAGTTAGACCAAGTGTAGACTCTAAAGATTTAAAGGTGTCATACAATACACCAAGAGTTACTGAATAAAGCAGAACATCCAGATACAGAAACAAGAACATCCAGATACAGAAACAAGAACATCCAGATACAGAAACAAGAACATCCAGATACAGAAACAAGAGCATGTATCCACATACAGAAACAAGAGCATGTATCCACATACAGAAACAAGAGCATGTATCCACATACAGAAACAAGAGCATGTATCCACACACAAAAGTGAGTTTCAAGACTGGCTGCTTGGGCAAATAGAACTCCATTACCTGACAGGCAAGTTGTTAATGATGACGACCATCATGTGTTTGGCTGGATTCAAACAGGCACACACATCACATCATATCGCGGCCTGGCTAGTGCTAGCTGGTCGTAGATTAGTTTTTATTGTTAAATAAAATCTGTATTTGCGATTGTATTATATGTAAATAGGTTTTCTGTGTGAATTTTATTGACTGTGTTTTTCTGTTGGAGAATTCTTACAGAGAAACATCATACATGCCATCAAAGATGACATAACTGTTGTTGCAAACATTTGTTTATATATTCAAAACCAGTTTTTGTGGATAGGAGATTTCTGTATTCTAGAGAACACAAAGAGTTTTTTCTGATCTTGTTTGTTCTCTTCTTTGTTTTGTTGTTGTTGATGATTTCCTCAGACGTTACTGAATTTAGGAGACTATACCAGTGGAAATGGGGAATATAGCACTGAAACATATCTAACTCTACATGCAGGAGAGTTAATCTGTTTGATTGGTTCACTTTTAGAAGTTGACATCATGACAGACAGCTGCGACAATGTTTCAATATCTAATCTTTGTCTTATCCTTGGTTCGATGCATAAAATAGTTTGTGCGAGACAGCCTCTAGCATATGTTTTATACGTAATATAGTTTATTTTGAACTTTTTTATGATGTATATTGTACAGTTTGTGTAGAACTATTTAATAATATATAATACAGTTTCTGTGAATCTATTTAATAATTTAGTTTTTGGGAAACTTGTTCACATTGAATGAAATAACTTGTATGGAACTGTTGTATAATGCATAGTAGAAATAGTTCCTAATACATAATATAGTTTGTGTGGAAATAGTTCTTGATATATACTATAGTTTTATGGGAACTAGTTCTAAATGCTTCATATAGTTTGTGTGGAAATATTTCTTGATGTATACTATAGTTGTCAGGGAACTAATTCATAACACATAATATAGTTTTTGTGGAAATAGTTCTTGATGTATATTATAGTTGTCAGGGAACTAGTTCATATTCATAATATACGGCATGCTGCCATCTTGATGTCCAAGTCTGTGTAACTTTTGGTGACAGGAATGCTGTAAGGAATGCTGTATTTATATTGAGTCACATCTGTTTCATCTCCCTTTTAACATTGTCTTGAAAATGAGTCAATATTTTCACTTTTCTTAGGATAAGATGTCGGCACTGTGGCTAAGTCGATGCGAACGCTTCGCTTCGTAATGCCTGGATGCCAGGTTCGATCCCAGCTGCCGGCAATGCGCCTTGCGTTGGTTTCGACAGTGGTATCAAGAAAGCCGACCGTCCAGAAAGCAATGGCAAACTACTGGATGTAACTTGCCTAGAGAAACCACACAACAGCCAGGGGCTGTTAGGGTTGGTTCTGCAACGTCCTGTAAAAGTTATGCAACTAACTGATGATAAGATATGTGGTGTGAGCATCTATCCTAACATATTTACTGAATGGATGAAGATATGTAGTGTGAGCTTCTGTCCTAACATATTTACTGAATGGATGAAGATATGTGGTGTGAACTTCTGTCCTAACATATTTACTAAATGGATGAAGATATGTGGTGTGAGCTTCTGTCCTAACATATTTACTGAATGGGTGAAGATATGTAGTGTGAGCTTCTGTCCTAACATATTCATGAATGGATGAAGATATGTGGTGTGAGCTTCTGTCCTAACATATTTACTGAATGGATGAAGATATGTAGTGTGAGCTTCTGTCCTAACATATTTACTGAATGGATGAAGATCTGTAGTGTGAGCTTCTGTCCTAACATATTTACTGAATGGATGAAGATCTGTAGTGTGAGCTTCTGTCCTAACAAATTTACTGAATGGATGAAGATATGTGGTGTGAGCTTCTGTCCTAACATATTTACTGAATGGATGAAGATATGTGGTGTGAGCTTCTGTCCTAACATATTTACTGAATGCATAAAGATATGTGGTGTGAGCTTCTGTCCTAACATATTTACTGAATGGATGAAGATATGTAGTGTGAGCTTCTGTCCTAACATATTTACTGAATGGATGAAGATATGTGGTGTGAGCTTCTGTCCTAACATATTTACTGAATGGATGAAGATCTGTAGTGTGAGCTTCTGTCCTAACATATTTACTGAATGGATGAAGATATGTGCTGTGAGCTTCTGTCCTAACATATTTACTGAATGGATGAAGATATGTGGTGTGAGCTTCTGTCCTAACATATTTACTGAATGGATGAAGATATGTGGTGTGAGCTTCTGTCCTAACATATTTACTGAATGGATGAAGATATGTAGTGTGAGCTTCTGTCCTAACATATTTACTGAATGGATGAAGATATGTAGTGTGAGCTTCTGTCCTAACATATTTACTGAATGGATGAAGATATGTGGTGTGAGCTTCTGTCCTAACATATTTACTGAATGCATAAAGATATGTGGTGTGAGCTTCTGTCCTAACATATTTACTGAATGGATGAAGATATGTAGTGTGAGCTTCTGTCCTAACATATTTACTGAATGGATGAAGATATGTGGTGTGAGCTTCTGTCCTAACATATTTACTGAATGGATGAAGATATGTGGTGTGAGCTTCTGTCCTAACATATTTACTGAATGGATGAAGATCTGTAGTGTGAGCTTCTGTCCTAACATATTTACTGAATGGATGAAGATATGTGCTGTGAGCTTCTGTCCTAACATATTTACTGAATGGATGAAGATATGTGGTGTGAGCTTCTGTCCTAACATATTTACTGAATGGATGAAGATATGTGGTGTGAGCTTCTGTCCTAACATATTTACTGAATGGATGAAGATATGTAGTGTGAGCTTCTGTCCTAACATATTTACTGAATGGATGAAGATATGTAGTGTGAGCTTCTGTCCTAACATATTTACTGAATGGGTGAAGATATGTGCTGTGAACTTCTGTCCTAACATATTTACTGAATGCATAAAGATATGTGGTGTGAGCTTCTGTCCTAACATATTTACTCAATGGATGAAGATGTACATGGAGATAAGACAGATAATCTTTCTGAATGAGCAGCTCAGACTGGTCAAGGATTCTGTCTGGGATGTGGGTCTGGGGAAGTCATCTTGATGTCAGCATGTGTGCTTTGTTTTGTATGAAACTGTATGCTAACTGTTGTATTCATCAACTGGAATATGCTAGAATGTTCAGCGCTGTGATGTAGAAAGTTTAGGATCTGACAGTAAAATTGTTTGTGTTTTGTAATTGCCTAAGTTAGATACACAATGAATGTTTAGCACTGTGATGAAGAAAGTTTAGCACTGTGATGAAGGATCTGACAGTAAAATTGTTAATGTTTTACAATTGCCTAAGTTAGACTCACAATGAAAGTGTTGAGATGTGTATTCTGCAGCTATCACATGTTTGCATATCATAACAGACGGCAGTCAACATTTGATCAAGCCTCCTCCAGCGAAACCATCAGCTCCTTGTTGACAGCTGATGAGATTTTGTTTGTGCCATAATTGAATGATCACACTTCTGGTCTTATTTTTATTGTTCTTAGCATTAAACTTTTCTCCTACATGGCTGAACATTTCGAACAAATATCTGGTTAGAAGGGGGAAGATACACTATACGATATGTAGAACAACTATTTGGTTGGAAGGGGGAAGATACACTATAGGATATGTAGAACAAATATCTGATTGGAAGGGGGAAGATACACTATAGCATATGTAGAACAAATATCTGATTGGAAGGGGGGAGATACACTATAGGATATGTAGAACAAATATCTGATTGGAAGGGGGAAGATACACTATAGGATATGTAGAACAAATATCTGATTGGAAGGGGGAAGATACACTATAGGATATGTAGAACAAATATCTGATTGGAAGGGGGAAGATACACTATAGAATATGTAGAACAAATATTTGGTTGGAAGGGGGAAGATACACTATAGGATATTTAGAACAAATATCTGATTGGAAGGGAGAAGATACACTACAGGATATGTAGAACAAATATCTGATTGGAAGGGAGAAGATACACTATAGGATATATAAAAAAATATCTGGTTGGAAGGGGGAAGATACACTATAGGATATGTAGAACAAATAT